AAAGGACCTAGCTTTCGTTGGATCCTACCAACATCGTCAGGGTAAAGAATAACTCAATGGGAGAAACCATTTATAGGCCAGCCAACGCCTGCGCCCGGGCCCTAGATCTCGTGACGGGTCCTGGATAACCAATCAATGTGTGCCCCTCATCACTCTCTTTAACTATCCTTGCATTGACACTCACACCCCCATTCCTCCGTGTCCGTGCACCGTGAGGACGCTTAGCCTCACCTGGCACACAAGTGCCATCAAGTTGTCCTCTCTTCTGCTCCTTATTCGCCCCCATCCAATCCGGCTCGGGCTGTAACCCAGCAGTCACGTCCCCACCCTCCATTTCGCCGATGCTAAGTGCGTGCGGGGGTGGGAGCTTCCACGCCTCGTCCGGACGATCTCCCTTGTTGTTTTCTCCCGTCCGGCTCCACCTGGCTCGCAACTCCAGAGTCGCCCTCCTATCCTCCATCTCATCCTGCGACAACTCTCAGGCACACACAGCCACCTCCAGTCGAGGGAGTCCTGGGCTACCTTTCTTCCGTACGCCTCTCAGCGGGGAAACTCCTTTTGGGCATGGCGGGTGGGTCGGGTGCGGTGGTGGTCCGGATCGCCGTGTTATAGCGATCCCCATAGCAGTGGAGTCGGCGCAACTCTCCAAACAGCAACAGCGCCGCATCCCCAGTCGCACGCTCTCCTTTTCTTCCCCCAAACTCCTCTCATGGCACTGGGTGGCATCCAGTGCAACAGCTGCCAAGCTCCCAATATTCGTAGGCTCCGTCTGCAACGGCCTCACACCAGCGTCCAAAGTCGGGGGAGTATCGGCACGTAAGCCACTGTTCCTTTTTCGGGCATTGTCTCTCCCGAGTGGGGGAGGAAGGGCAGGGTCGCAGTTCCTATTGTGGTTAGTCCATGTCGGCTGCTTGCATGCCTCCCACGTCCTTAACGTTAAATACGCCGGGCGCAGGTCTATATGCCGATTAATGGACCCCTCGCGCGACAACCAGGCCTCCTTAAGTAGCCTGCCACTTTTGGTGG